AGGAAAGGCTTTCTGTGTTTTTTCGTTGGTTTGTTCTTGCTTTTATTTTTTTTGTTCCAATATGGCGACTGATCCTACTGACATTCCAAGTAGGAGCTAGAGGGCAGAGAGGGAGTAACTGAGGCAGCTCCATGCTCTAGGAGCTGGGAGCAGACAGGAAAGGGCCAGAGCACAAGTAAGGGCCAGGAGAGGGAACACAGGGTGGGCATGAACACAGGTAAGAATGGGGGCAGCATGGGGGGAGGTTACACCTGGTATCCGTGAGCTTTCTGTGAGGAACTGGGTGAGCTCACTGCGGCAGTGACCGGGGTCTGGAGGAGAGTGAAGGCTTAAGGAATTGCCTAAGAATTTTTGTGCATCTTTGGGTTTTGGATTCTCCGGAGTGCAGCACTGTGTTGATGGGAAGCCAGGAATAACATCACACCGCGTACGGTAAACACCCCACTCCCGAGTCCCTGGTCACACATGCTGACTTCAGGGAGAGACTTATATCTGCCTGGGGCTAAATCAAAGGTCAGATGGTTTCCCCCTTCCTTCTCCTCAAATTCCCGAAATAGCCTGTGAGAAAAGCCATTTGGAAGCTCCACAAGGCACCTGCCACTCAGCAGCTAGACCCCCAGGGACATCCTCCTGGTCAGTTCAGAGGGTAGCTGTCCACACGGTCTCCCCACAGCCCCAGTCCCTGGAACGAGCGTGTTCTGTTTGAAATGTCCCTTTAAGAGGCTCATGGGGAAGATGCACCAAGATGCTCCAGCCTTTGCACTTCACCACCGGATGGCCTCCATCTTCCCCATGGGGCTGTGAGAAGTCCTCTGCACAGGGCAGGAGGTTAGGCCTTGCCGAGGGGTCAGAGGCTTTCATGTCATGGAGATGGTCTACTGGGCATGCGGGCATTAGTGCTGGGGACCTGGGCCAGCTCGCTGGTCACACACTTTTTGACAGCAGAAGCCAAAGAGGTGCTGGTCCTACCCCACAGGAGGAGGTGCCGGAGCCCTCACCCAGGCCCCATCCCAGCATCCTTTACAGGGTGATGCTCCCACATGGGGAGAAAAACTGAGCAGCAATCCATCAAACATACATTTCTGTTAACTTTGTAAACACTAAAGGAAACGTATTCCTTTTTTTGTTTGATTGTTTCCTAACTGGTATATTTGGTGAATTGGCTGTTTAGCAAATCGCCTCTCCGGTAAATGTGCTGCTGGTGAACTGACCTTGAGCCCACACACTATGTCCACTTGACGTGTATTCAGGACAGGAAAGTTCCTTCCAAGTAATGCATGTGTTTGTTTCTTGGTTTCACGGTTTCCCCCCTATTAACTTTGTTCTGTCAATGACCTCGGTAGGTGTTTTGAGCTGGGCCATCCATTTGGCATCTTTCAGAGTGTGTCAATGACATCAAAAACTCATCTGATTGCTATACATCTGAAACCAACACAACCTTGTAAATCAACTATATCTCAATAAAAATTAAAAAACAAACAAACAAAAAACTCATCTGAACAACCCCTGAGCAGCTCAGTTTGTTAAGGTCACCCACTTAGTTGTCACCTGAGGGCCAGTTTCTCCATTCAGCCCATTGTTGGTTCATAGATTAGAGAATCAGGAACTGGGAGAAAATATGAGGACTCCAAGGAATCGTGGAGAAACCAGACGTGTGACAGAGAATGGGATACTGTGGCTGCAGGAAATGGACGATTAATGTTGAAACTGGTGAAATGCACAGATTAACACTGAGAGGAGATTGGGAAGGAGGGGGTTTATTATTTTTAAACTGTCTTCGGTTTCACTGTAGACTGCTGGTATTTTAGCCAACTTGCTCTGCAGAAACAATCTCAGTGTCCAGAACCCAAAGGTCTTTATTCGGAGCTTGTTTCCGCCACGCCCTTCCTAAGTCTCAGCACCCACCCGAGCAGAACCTGAACCCACACCCCGTGTGTCCTGGCCTCAGAACCACATGCCTTGGCCCTGCTCCCAGGGGTCACGGGGACCCTGGGGATAAGGCTTGTCACAGGCAGAGGCGGCTTCACCTCTTGTCGCACAGTTAACCAATACCACAGTGAACAAGAGACAGAAACATCAAAAAATAAAACCCACAAAATACCCTTCACTAAGCCCCCGCTGTTTACACGACTCTTCCCAAGTGTGTCACCAGGAGCCTGTGTCTGCACAGGAAGCACCAATCATGGGAAGGCTACTGGGGCTCCAGCATCCTTGCCTTGACTCTGATGTGGATTCTCTGAACCACCACCTCTCCGAACTAGAGCATTTCCAGGGACCATGTCCTGCGCTATTGTATTTAATAAGCTCACCATCTAATTGCACACGGAAGGCCAAGAAGACACAGCAGAGCAGCCGATCTGAAGGCTGCTTGAGCAGAAGGCCTCAGGCACTTCCGAACAAGGACATCACCCTGACCGTAACCGACTGGCCGGGGACCTGACCTGACCCATAGGCCCCCCAGAAGTGGAGGCAACACAACCGGATCCTTAGGAGACTTCCTTTCCCAGCAGTAACTGGAGGTTACCTGGGCGTGTCTCCCTTTTACGGTGTGAAATGACTAGAGGAACATGGAAAATAAAGAGGAAGGGTGTCAGGAGGGCATCCCCTGTAGACAAGAAAGACAGGAATTTCTGCAAAACCACCCGAGCTCTGCCTGGACGGAGGGAGGGGCTGACCCACTCAAGGGTCTCCCTGGAGGGCTGGGTTCCCCTCCCCTCTGACTGATCTGCGATTCTATATACGTATTGAATGGGAGGGTCTAAGCTGTCATTGAAAATAAAAGTACATCAACTATACTTCAATTAAAAAAATAAATTAAAAAAATAAAAAAATAAAAGTGACAACAGCTGGGCTGCCTGGAGAGGCTGTGATCCCCAGAGCAAAGGCCAGGTGGGCTCTGTCGCTGAGAGCCTGTGGCCCTGGGCCCCGGGTACAGCCTCCAGGTCACGGCTGAAGCAGAGGGAGGAGACGTGGGGTGGGGCGGGCCCGATCAGCACGAGGACGCTGGCCAAGGTCAGCTCTGGGCCCCAGTCCTGGGGTCGCAGGGGGCTGAGTCAGGGCCCTAGACACCAGTGGGGAGAAAGCGCCTTCATAATGAAAACCCGGGGGCGGGGGTGACCTGCAGCCCAAGACAGAGCGGAGGGTGGAGAGCTCCACAGAGGGGCAGCAGGAAGCCTTGCGGTCCTGGTCCGACGCCTCCCCGCCATCGAGAGAGGTGCTGGGCTCCCCTGAACTTGTTTCACTTAACAGTTTGTCTGTTTGTGTGGACTCTGCTCTGTGTCGGGACCCAGAGACTCCCACCGCTGCTCCTTCTGTCTCCGCTGGGGTCCGTCTTTCTCTCTGTGTCCTCCCTCCAGGGTGGTCTCCTCCAGACCCATGGCTTTAAACACTGGGGCAGCTAAGTAATGATCCCTCTACCCCAAAAACGTTGTATGTCCTGGTTCTTAGAACCTGGGACTGTGTCTCCTTACAGGGCAAGAGGGACCTGCAGGTGTGATTAAGTTAAGGGTTGTGAGTTGGTGATGGGATTAGCTGGGTGGGCTCAGCGTGATCGTGAGATCCTTCTAGGCAAAACAGGAGGGCAGGAGAGTCAGAGAGATGCGACGACAGAAGCAGAGGTCAGAAAGACAGAGACTGGAAGACAGCAGGCTGACGGCCTCGAAGAGGCAGGAGGGGCAGAAGCCAAGGAGCGTGGGCGCCTCGAGACGGCGGCAGAGGCAAGGGACCCTCCGGAAGGCAGGCAGCCCCGCCCACGCCTTGGCTTCTGGACTCTAGAGCCGCGAGGGATTTGTGTGCTTTAAGCCACCGAGTCTGGAATGATTCCAGCAGCCACAGCATCTGTAGGTGGATGCGCCCTCAGTCCTGTCTCTGCTGGGTTCCAGCCCCGTGGGTGTGGGGCTTCCCTGGCCACTTCGTGTCTAACAGGCAACCCAGTGTCATCAGGTCTGACCCGTGTCCTGGTTTCCTCCACACCTGCTCCACCCTCGCCTTCCCCAGGTGAGATGACGACACCTCCATGCCCCAGTTACTCAGGCCATGGCTCTGGAGTGACCCTGACCTTGACGCCTCCCATACTCCACACCCCACATCCAACCCGTGGGCAAACCTGCAGGTGCCCCCTTCAAAGCTCATCTGACCACCTCTCCGTAGCCCACCGCCTGCAGAGCAGAAGCCGGGTCTTGTTACTCCCCTGCCCGAAGGCCTGCAGCCACGCGGGGAAAGGCCCAAGTTCTGCCCGGGTCCTCAGCCCCCCGACGGTCTGCTCCCCATCATGGCTCTAACCTCCTCTTGGTGCTCCGCCACCAGGGGCCTTTCAGGCATTTCCTTGGCTACCTCCCCCCCCCCCCCCCCCCCGCCGAGTCTTTATACAATGTCTCCTTCGCAATAGGCCTACCAACCCACAAAAGTCACCAAGACAACAGGGAGCCCGGGGGACAGCTAAGCCTTGGAGGTCTGGTGGAGGAACATGCAAGGGCAGAGGGGGAGTAAGCAGCGCCGGGTGGGTTTTAGCCCACGGGGAGAGACATGCAAAATGGTGCTGGGGTCTCCATGCTGAGGATAAGGTGCCCCCAACACTGCTGCGAAGAGGCAGAAGTCAGCCTTTGTCCTAAATGCCCTTGCTCCCAGCTTCTGGGTGTCTCAGGCCAGCGTCAAGGCTTTCCCTATTCATCACCTTTAGCTCTTTTATTCGTGCAATGCCATGCCCTAAGCATCACCCCACTTAGGAGAGAATGTCACCCTGGGGTTGGATCAAGTTGAACTAAACCTATTCAGGGAATATCTGGCTCTCAGGAGCAAAGTCAGATCTCCTTGTTTTAATTAGGAAGAAACTTAATTAAAGTTTCTTAAGGCCAGAAAGCAGAATGTTTCCTGGCGCCCGGCTTCCGGCCAGTGTCCTGTACCCGAGCTCCTGCTGTCTGTCCACTCAGAGGGCCGCGAGGTGACAGCCCCTCCGGAGGCCACCAGGGCTGCACTGCAGGGGCCCAGCCACACACACTCACTCTAGTCTCTCCTCTTCTTTCCTTCGAAGGTCAAAGTCCCGTTGAACCACTTCCCAGACGTGCTTGGCCTCTTCATCCGTGAGCGTGGAAAGATCCAGTTTTTTCCCCATCTCTGCTTCTCGTCGGGGTCACACCTGCAATAACACAGGACCACAGTGTTCAGCCCAGGAAGCCCGCGTGCGGATGCCGGCCAATTCACAAAGAAGAGGCAACACAGCAAGTGCTGATTTCCCAGCAGTTGGAACCTGGGTTAAATGGTTTTAGAAAACAGGCAAATGGGTGTCTGGAAATGTGTGCAGTCGAAATAAACGAACCCATGCGTACAATCCCCACACCCCAGGAGTCAGGCTTCAGATGACGTTATGCCCTTTCCGAGGACACTGAAGACCCCAATCAATGCCAAGAGGACAAAGGAAGGAAAATCCGAATGTCAAAAAGCAAGAGAAGGAGAGCTTTACCACCTTGCTCGCTACGCAGTGTGCTCTGCAGGCCAGCAGCAGCTCCCAGAGCCTGTGAGACATGCAGACTCCCAGGCCCTGCCCCAGCCCTCCTGACTCAGAATCTGCACCCTAACGAGATCTTCTGACGACACCTCCACCTGTCTCTCCCTCCCCCATCACGCCTGCCCCTTGAGTATTCCTTCACACCTAACAGCTGGTGACATCACATATCGCGATGACGGCGACTTCTCCCTGGCACATGGGGGTGCTTTTCTGTGCTCCCACCTCTCTGGTCTTCGTCAGGCCACACAGGGACCCCTTGGCCAGAGACCGTGGCCACTACACCCAGTCCAGCTCTGCTCTGGGGGAAGATTCTGTTTGGGTGACAGGTTCCCTGTGGGCAACCGAGAGTTCAAGAACCTCTGTGCGACTTCAGCCACTCTTCACTGAGGACTGAAAACTGCTTTTTAGGAACATCAGAGAAGGGATCCAATCTGTCTGCCCTCACTGGGAAACCTTAACACCAATCGAAAGACCCAATGTTGCTTCTGAATTCTGGGGAACTTCTCCCTCTCACCAGTGCTGACCAGCCGAAAGTACTTTCTGCAGAAATGTGAACACAACTTGCTGTTAGAAAACTGCTTTGCTGTACAAGAGGTTAATTATGAAAAGTGCCGTTTTCTGAGAAACACTCGATGCCAGCTAAAATGGAGATGTCCACGGAGATCCCACGGCTGTCAACTAAACTGTTTCCTGGCTTGTGCCTTAAAGTCGGTGAAAAATAATTTCTTAAATTTTTTGCACTGACCCCTCAGTATTTCCATCCTCAAGCACCGTGCTGACTGTGAACGATGCATTAAGAGGATGCCCTGATGTGCCAGAATCATTCAAACTATTTTCATTACGGTTGACTTTAGATTTTGGACATGAAAACATTAAACCAAGACTGATTCCTGATGCTCCTCTAGAGCACACAGTTTCTGTTTTTAAAAAAACTGGAACAAAAAGTTATTTGATGGGGCTTCCCTGGTGGCGCAGTGGTTGGGAGTCCGCCTGCCGATGCAGGAGACACGGGTTCGTGCCCTGGTCCGGGAAGATCCCACATGCCGCGGAGCGGCTGGGCCCGTGAGCCACGGCCGCTAAGCCTGCGCATCCGGAGCCTGTGCTCCGCAACGGGAGGGAGAGGTCACAACACTGAGAGGCCCGCGTACCACAAAAAAAAAAAAAAAAAAAAAAAAAAGAAAAAGAAAAAGTCATTTGATGGATGACTGGGGTTTACTCATTTTTGTTTTTCACCATTGTTGAAAAAAATTCTATCATAAGGAGCCCATTCATTGAAATTCTCTTCCCAGAGCAGATGAAAGCCGTGACCATCAGCTGAGTAGTTAGCATTCTCTCTCCTCTCCTAAAGGAAAAGTCACAATTCCAGGCCTTATTTCAAGAAACTAAAATTGTGAGGTGTGGGGGAGAAAAGCAAAACAAAAGGAAACAAGTATATCTTTCTTGCCACGCAAGCGTAACCGTCTTGGAGCATGTCAGTGACCGATAAGGGATGGATGGAAAGGTCACTAGGAGTCAGAACTGCCACCCGGACGCTTCACACCCACAGGATCCCCCCCACCCCAGCCCCCTCTCAAGTCTGTTTCTTTTGTTTGATGTGTCTTTCTAATAAGGATGGTACTTGGTTTCCCAGCTCAGATAGAAAAGGCCATTGAGGGCTGGGAACGGGCGCGCACTGGACCAGCGAGGGTCCGGGCACCTCTGGCGAGGCGGGTGCCTGCCGGGGTCGGGTGGTGAAGAGGCCCAGCCTGGCTGCCTGCTGCCTGGAGTGATGCCGGGCAGCAACCTACTGAGATGTGAACAGGGGAGACCAGGATGCAGAGGGAAGGAGACAGCCTCCCACGCTTCAAGGGGACCACGGCACCATGGCTTAGCGCCATTTCGGAGGTGCCAGGGGTGACCCTGAATTGTTGAGGAAAGTGATATGTGTTCATGATGCTCTGTTTAATGAAGCCAGGAATGATGCAATACAGACTCTGAAAAACAAGCATCCCACATAGCTAAACCAAGAGCAGACGGTTGGTACTTCATGGATTAGACATCATCTGAAAAATTTTACTCTGGTGCCTATCTTTATTTATTTAACATCTTTACTGGAGTATAATTGCTTTACAATGGTGTGTTAGTTTCTCCTGTGTAACAAAGTGAATCAGCTATACATATACATATATCCCCATATCCCCTCCCTCTTGCGTCTCCCTCCCACCCTCCCTATCCCACCCCTCTAGGTGGTCACAAAGCACCGAGCTGATCTCCCTGTGCTATGCGGCTGCTTCCCACTAGCTATCTATTTTACGTCTGGTAGTGTATACGTGTCCATGCCATGTTCTCACTTGGTCCCAACTCACCCTTCCCCCTCCCCAGGTCCTGAAGTCCATTCTCTACATCTGCATCTTTATTCCTGTCCTGCCCCTAGATTCTTCAGAACCTTTTTTTTCTTAGATTCCATATATATGTGTTAGCATACGGTATTTGTTTTTCTCCTTCTGACTTACTTCACTCTGTATGACAGACTCTAGGTCCATCCACCTCACTACAAATAACTCAATTTCGTTTTCTTTTTATGGCTGAGTAATATTCCATTGTATATATGTGCCATATCTTCTGTCAATGGACCCTTAGGTTGCTTCCATCTCCTGGCTATTGTAAACAGAGCTGCAATGAACATTGTGGTACGTGACTCTTTTTGAATTATGGTTTTCTCAGGGTATATGTGGTGCCTTTTTTTTTTTTTTTTTTGCGGTACGCGGGCCTCTCACTGTTGTGGCCTCTCCCGTTGTGGAGCATAGGCTCCGGACGCGCAGGCTCAGCGGCCATGGCTCACGGGCCCAGCCGCTCCGCGGCATGTGGGATCTTCCCGGACCGGGGCACGAACCCATGTCCCCCACATTGGCAGGCGGACTCTCAACCACTGTGCCACCAGGGAAGCCCTGTGGCGCCTATTTTTAGCTCTGGCCCAACTTCTGGGTGAACAGGAGGTGCAGGCAGAGGAGGGGAGGGAGAGTGATTCCAAATTTCAGACACATCCCGTATGTAGGATGCTGTGCCATGCAGTAGGGACGTGATGCTTCCGAGGGAAGCATGTTCTCGGGACAGCCTGGGGTCAGGAGCCTGGCTCCCGACATGGGTCCACGACACGGGTGGTCCACGACATGGATCTTTATCTACTGTGACCAAATCTTCCCATGTAGTGAATTAATGATGTGCAGAAGCTTAAAGCTATTTATTTATTTAAAGATTTTTTGATGTGGACCATTTCTAAAGTCTTTATTGAATTTGTTACAACATTGCTTCTGTTTTATGTTCTGTTTTTTTGGCCCCGAGGCATGTGGGACCTCAGTTCCCCAGCCAGGGATTGAACCCGCACCCCCTGCATCGGAAGGTGAAGTCTTAACCACTGGACTGCCAGGGAAGTCCCAGCTTTTTATTATTTTTATTAATTTATTATTTTCGTTGTTCTCGTTGTTGGTGGTGGTGATGATGGGTGGTGGGGTGATGGTTTAGAGCTTTTAAAAAACTATCTTTAGAAAATAATCTGAAGTCGAATGGAGAATATGTTTGATTTCAGTATTCAAAACGCATAAACCAAAAGTCTCTGGCAATCGAGGAGTGTGTTGCTAGCACCCCTTCTGGCCTGCATCAGGCTGATGGGGGAACTTGGGGTATGGGGGAAGGGCAGCCCCTCTGCCAGGTACAGCCACGCTGAGGGATCCACGTGGGTTCATGGAAGGGAAGAGCCTTTCAGCCACAATCATCTCTCTCCTCATTCCCCACTTAGCTTGCTCACCAAGACCCTGATCTCCAACCGGTATCCCTCCAACCGTAAGAGTCGAGGGGGAACATGGCAGCAGAGGGCATGCTGGACCCATGGAGGGGGCCGGGCTCTGCCCTGCCCTAGCCTGGGGGAACCTCCCAGGGCATGCGTGCTGGGGCGGGGGCAGACCCCACCAGGCTCCACCTGCTCCTGGCTCCACTTCGGTGCAGATAACGCCTAGTCATGAGCTTCCTGAACAAAACACTTTCAATTTGCGCCTGGTCCACGGCTCAGATTTAATCACATTTTTAATCTTTGAGACTGTTAGCCCTCCCCCATTGCTTCAAAGCTATAATAGAGAAAAGAGAGCGTGACACCGAGGTTAATGAGTTGGGAAGAGACAGAACAGGTTTTACCAAGTGGATATCCTGAACCCAGACCACCGCCATTTCAATGGTGGGTCATCTTTATCTGTTAAAGATTTGAGTTCATATTTTGGCCACATTAAAGGGAGATCTGGGCAGGGATCCCTCCTACACAAAACTTGGGCTGGCGGCCCCCTGAGCTGGAAGCGATAGCAATTATGAGTAGTCACCACCGCCTGAGCAGATAAACTTTGCAGCAAGTCCAAGTTCCTCTTCAATGCCCAACAAACAATGGCAGGAATGACTCAGAATCAGGTGGGCAACTCTTGCTGATAAAGATGTGGGCACATTCCTGAGGGAAGGCCAGGTGCCAGCTGTGGGGCCTCTGTGTTAACCCTTTGCGGCTGCTTCCCAAAGCTGGCCTGTGTGGTCACTTCTGCAGGCAGGGCCTGCTGCCCACTGGCAGCAACCAAACCCCCAACCCTCGTCAGCTGCAAAATGAGCACCTTCCCCCCCACCCACTGCGGGTGCTCTGAAATCACTCCAGCAGCAACGGCCCTGCAGCTTGCCTCCCGCCTGCCCGTTCTCTCCGTTCTCCCAGCTCCCTGGGAAGCTGCTGGAAACCTTGTTTACGCATGGACATAGTTCTGCACTTGCAGCTAAAGCCTCAGCTCTAGTCTCCACAGCGAGGATGGGTCCCAAGGTGACGCTGAGGGACGAGGACGCGGCTAAGCTCCAGGAACTGGGTTCCTATCCTAGTTCAGGCACCAGCCAGCCCTGCGACTTGGGACAAGTCCCCTTCCTCTCTGGGTCTCAGTTTTTCCATCTGTACCATGACCTCTATGTCTCTCTCCAGCCCTGGGTGAGGCCAGGATGTCAGGGTTAAAGGGAGAGGTTACAAGGTGGGTAGAGGGGAGCGGGCTCTTCCTCCAGAGACTGCTTCTGAAAAGAATGAGACAGGCCTAGAAGGCTGACCCAATGGCATGAACTGGGGGCAGCCACGAGAAGTCACCACACTGTCATCCGAGGGCACCAAAGTCTCCCTTCTGTGTAGCCTACAGGGCTCTGGATCCTCTTCATCACCCCCAAGCCTTCCACTCAGCTGGCTTTAATTTTTCAGTCACTAATGCCTTAATCAATAAGACCCACTGACTGCTAGTCTATGTGCCTGGAATTGTCTTCAGTGAATCCTGCGGGGCTCCTACCACTGCACCCAGATTTTGGATGTGGTGGAGCACAGGCACCTATGATTGGTGCTTGGATCTAAGGCGTGAGGCCCTGGAGATTCAGGCAGGGGGCTCTTGCCCAAGAGACCTGTGTCTTACTGAGGTCAGCGGAGTGGCTGACAATCCAGTGGAAGGCTGGACGTCGGAGGACAGAGGTGAACGGGCTGAACCCAGGTGCCAATGTCACTGCTCCGCTGCCATGGTCTGCAAGCCCTGGCCTTCTCCTTGGGGCTTCATGGCCAAGCGCAGTGCCACCTTTGCACCTGGTGGGCTAGTGGGGGCCTCACCTCCCCCCTTTATCATTCCAACCTCTCAGAAAGAAATGTGTAACTAAAATTTTAAAAAACAAACATAAAAATGCAAAGACCCCAACCCAACTGAAAATGAAATGGGGTTTTCAACATTTGGTTAAGGTGAGTAGGACACAGTCTAGGAAACTGCAGGGGATTTGTAAAGAGGTCTGGCTCAGGCGGGGACCCGGGGCCAGGACCCACTGTGTGACTCTCCTCGTCTACAGACCCTTCCCCCATCCCGATAACAAGATGGTGGGCTGTCGAGGGGCGTGTCGGAAAACAAAACATAATTCCAATAAAACGGGCTTTCAGAGGCCCCAAAGTCCAGGACGCCTCCTCCCATATGCTATGACACCACCCAGGCTCTCTCTCTCTCCGGGCAGGAGGGGTCTCTCCCCAAACAGCCTCAGGCCCCTGGGCGACCAGCCAGAGAGTGAGTCTCCTCCGAGGCCGGCAGCCTCAGCCCCGTCTGCATGTAGATCCGCAACACGGCTTTTGATTAAAACCACTGTTTTGGGCTTCCCTGGTGGCGCAGTGGTTGAGAGTCTGCCTGCCCATGCAGGGGACACGGGTTTGTGCCCCGGTCCGGGAAGATCCCACATGCCGCGGAGCGGCTGGGCCCGTGAGCCATGGCCGCTGAGCCTGCGCGTCCGGAGCCTGTGCTCCGCAACGGGAGAGGCCACAACAGTGAGAGGACCGCGTACCGCAAAAAACAAACAAACAAAAAAACCCCACTGTTTTGCTCCCTGAGGATCCAGGCCAGTCTGCCAAGCTATCTGGGTGAAGCCTGGTTTTGGGGTTCGGTGGGCTGGATGCGTCCTCCTCATCAGCCGGGACCGAGGCCTGGGGGCCCCTGGGGGTGTTTTCACACCGGTGGGGCTGCACCCAGCACCGCGGACCCGCCCTGAACATGGGGCCTCCGTCCCGGGCGCCACCGGACCCCGCCGTTTCCCCTTCTCCCCGAACTCACCGACTCCTTTCCGGGGGCGTGTCTGCCCTGGCCCGGACCCCGGGGTTGCTCTCTGCAGTCCTGCTAGGGAGAGCAAGGCGACGGGCCGGGCGTCGGGTCGCGGTGCGTTGAGGCCAGGAGGGCAAATACGGGCCAGACAGGGCGCAGGGCGCACAGCCAGGAGGGAGGGGCGAGGTCCCGGAGGCGTCTGCCGGGTCACGAGGACCGCGCCGCGCCGCGCCCAGCTCCAGGAGCGCCGGGCACCTCCGGGTGCCAGCGGAGCGCGGGGCGGACACCCGGGGCGCCCGCGCGGGAGGCGCCAGTGCCTGGCAGAGCCCGTCGCTCCTCGCCCCCAGCCTACTTCGGGGAGGAAGGAGGGGAGGAAGGCAGGGAGCGGAGGGCTGAGCCCACACCTGGCGAGTCGGGAGACTGCCCGGTGATGCGGCCGCCGCCGTCCTGCCCTCGGCGCGAAGGGAGCCGCCGGTCTTTCTCGCCCTCGGAGCGCGCGGGACCTCGTTTAATTCCCATCCCAACTCTGCGCGATTTACTCCGGTTTTACAGATGGGGAAACTGAGGCCCAGGAAAGAGCGTTCCCCAAAGCCACAGACTAACTCGTGGGAACGCCTCACTCGTAAGTGGGACTCTGGACCCCGTGTTTCCTGCGGCAGACGCGTGCCCCTCTACGTCTTCCCTCCTGCCTGGACGCGGCTGGACCCGTAAGCTCAAACGCCTGTAGCCCCGCCATTGGGAGGGCACCGAGACCTTGCGCGCCAAAAAAAGTCCCGCAAGTCACAGCCGCGGCTCGCGGCGGCGTCAGCATCCGCGCACAGACGGGGCGGGGACGAGGGCGAGGGAGAGGGCGAGGATCCCCTGCGTAAGGACCTCCGAGCCCTCGCGCCGCCGTCTCACTTTCCGCGCCCGGACTCGCGCTCAGGGGCGCCTCAAACCCGGAGCGTGCGACGCACCACCGCCAGCTCCAGCCACCGTGCCGTGCCTGCTTGTCCTTCCCAAATCCCCTGGACATTAAAGGGCGTCACCATCTTCCCTTTCCCTTCCGGAGCTGAGCGCATCAAAACACTCCCCCCTCCTCCCTCTCACTTACTATTGATAAAAAAAGATGAAACAAAACTACATTCTTTCCCCCAGGAACTACTTTCGAAACTTTCCATATCTGCGAAATGGGGACAGGAATATAAATAAATACATAAATGATCAGTGCTGTTAGGTGAACAAATACTGATATCTCAGTTTTACAGAGGAGGAAACTAAACCTTATAGGATCATTGTGATGTCACGCTGGATAATTTATAAGACACTTTCAAAAGGCACACAATTCTGCTCGGGTTAGAGCTCTGGTTGTCTGCTGTGCCCGCGGAAGCACTGTAGGTGCATGTGGCTATTTCTGTCCTCTGGGCTACATAGGCGCTCTGGACAAGCACCATCAACTCTGTGTGCGAACCCGGGAAGTAAGGTGACACTTACACTTAACCCAGAGTTTCCAGAAACCCTGTGAGCTGGTTCTCATGTTTTTCATTTCCTTACCATATACGTTACTGTTGCTTATAAAATTAACAGATCCCTTAAAAGTCGGTATCAGGACCGTTTCTTTTTAATATGTATTTTATCTTTTATTTACTTATTTATTTATTTTTTTGCGGTACGCGGGCCTCTCCCTGTTGTGGCCTCTCCCGTTGCGGAGCACAGGCTCCAGACGCGCAGGCTCAGCGGCCATGGCTCACGGGCCCAGCCGCTCCGCGGCATGTGGGATCTTCCCGGACCGGGGCGCGAACCCGTGTCCCCTGCATCAGCAGGCAGACTCTCAACCACTGCGCCACTAGGGAAGCCCTATCTTTCATTTTTTTTTTAATTGAAGTATAGTTGATTTACAATGTTGTGTTAGTTTCAGGTGTACAGCAAAGTGATTCAGGTATGCATATACAAATATCTAGTCTTTTTCAGATTCTTTTCCATTATGGATTATTACAAGATATTGAATATAGTTCCCTGTGCTATATAGTAAGTCCTTGTTGTTTATCTATTTTATATATAGTAGTGTGTATCTGTTAATCCCAAAGTCCTAAATTATCCTCCACTCCTTTCCCCTTTGGTAACCATAGTTTGTTTTCTAAGTCTGTGAGTCTATTTTTGTTTTGTAAATAAATTCATTTGTACTATTTTTTCGATCCCACATATAAGTGATATCATGTGATATTTGTCTTTCTCTGACTGACTTCGCTTAGTATGATAATTTCTAGGTCCATCTATGTTGCTGCAAATGGCACTATTTCATTCTTTTTTATGGCTGAGAAGTATTCCATCGTATATATGTACCACATCTTCTGCCAGTGGACATTTAGGTTGCTTCCATGTCTTCTTGGCTATTGTAAATAGTGCTGCCATGAACATTGGGGTGCATGTATCTTTTCAAATGAGAGTTTTCATCTTTTTTGGATGTATGCCCAGGAGTGGGATTGCTGGATCATCTGGTAACTCTATTTTTACTTTTTAGAGTAACTTCCATACTCTTGTCCATTGTTTTAAAATGTTTTTTATACTTTCATGCTTATTTATTTAAATTAGTGGGTTTTAAGTAATGTGTAAAACTGATACATGGTGATATGTGATAAAGATATATGGTAAAGAATATGAACAGTATGAAATGAAAAGTCAAACTTAATCTTATTCCTTCACCCAAGCCCACTTCCCAAAAACCATCGTTAGCAGTGGTGCCTTGTGTATTCTGCCCAAATTATTGTGTGTGGTTGAGCGTGTGGACTCTGGAACCAGCTGCAGGAGTTGGACCCCAGCTGACTGCATCCTCATTGGACTGTTACTTAACCTCCCCCAGGCTCAATTCTCTCTTCTACACGTTGGGGATAGCAACAGGACCTACACAGTAGGGTCGTTCTGAATCAGTATACTACACAAAGCACTCGGATGAGACCTGCCCTGAGGTGAGTGCTAGGTAGATATTAACCCCTGTTAGTATAGACCTGGTTCATTCTTTTTAATGGTTGCAGAGCAGCCACTACATGAGTTTACCATCCATATTTTACTGCTCTCCTATTGATGGACAGTTAACTTTGGATTTTTTGCTATTTAAAAATATTTCTGGGGCTTCCCTGGTGGCACAGTGGTTGAGAGTCCGCCTGCCGATGCAGGGGACACGGGTTCGTGCCGCGGTCCGGGAAGATCCCACATGCTGCGGAGCGGCTGGGCCCGTGAGCCATGGCCACTGAGCCTGTGCGTCCGGAGCCTGTGCTCTGCAACGGGAGAGGCCACAGCAGTGAGAGGCCCACGTACCACAAAAAAAAAAAAAAAAAAAAAATTTCTGCCATAAACATCTTGTGTATAATGTGTAATATCACTGGCATATACATATTTATGATGGTACATAAATGTAATTGTACCTACATATGTATCATTGTACATACATGCGAATACAAATATATCTATACAATAAAATCCTAACATTGAATTGCCGAGTCAAAGGATGTATGCAATTTTTAAGAGAAAATTCTAGAATTGAAAAAGTTTAAATTATTGAAACAATCTCAAAAATGACATAAATTTGGAAGTATGATACAAAGAAGTCCTCCTTCCAATTTGTAAGTTGCTGACGTGATGTTTTAGTATGTATTTTACAAACAAGGACAAACTTCTACAAAACTTCAATCCAGCCATCAAAATTGGTAAATGATATGCTGTTATGTATAATCATGAGAACCCTTTCCAATTTTGCCATAATTATCCTTTATTGTGAAGGATCCAGTTCAGAATATCTTGATTTCTTAATTTAGCTATTTATGGGGAGAAGGGAGGGGACAGAGAGCAGAGGAGGGGAAAGGTAAGCAGTGGGGCTTGGTGGCTGCTGGCCAGTATCTTGGGCTCAGTTGTTTCTCCTTCTCCTGGTATTCTTGGCTTGCCTGGGCCTTACTTTTGGAGCCCTGGCCCCTTCCTAGCTTCTCAGGGCTCCCGGTGTGCCCCTTGGTGCTACACTCTGGCTCCCTTTTTGCCCCTGCCCCTGTAGCTGTCCTTCCTCATTCACTTGCTTCGGGCTGGCTTTCTTTTTTTAAGACTATGTGGTCCAATCCTGTCTCTTACAGATGAGAAAAGTGATGCTGAGAGAGGGGGTGGCATACACCCAAGGTCACACAGTGAGTTGGAGATGGCTTACCTCTCCAGCAGCAAGCGTCGCAATCAACCATCACGGACCCTCAAGAAGTCGGCTTGGTGGGTGGACACCAGAGGGAAGTAGAGGGCCCCCCACCACTTCCTTGTCTTAAAGTGGCTGTCAGGAGACCCTGCCTTCTCTGAGATTTAGGGGTGGACACAGCAAGGAAGGCAGAATGGCTGTCTCAGCCATGCCATCAGGAAGCTCACCATGGAAAATGGGCCTCAGGGGAGCGCCCTTTAATTTCACTGTTTGGAAGTCCCCCATCTTCAGGGATAGCTGGACAGGCAAGTCCTGTTGAGGGCTGGGCTGGGACTTCCCTCATCTCTGCTGGTAGAGAGGAGACCCCAAGGGGCAGGAGGCCCCCGGCCCACCAGGGAGCATCCTGCAGTGTCTGGAAGTGCCAGCTTCCCGCGATGGCAGATGCAGGATTAGTGCTGAGAGGCCTGCGGTCCCCTATCCACCGCCCTTCTTGGGTCCTTGATAGAGCTCACCGGCAGGCAGCAGTTAAATCCTTCCTGCCTTCTCCCCTGTCTAAATCCTCTGGGCTGGTTTGCCATTGGGCTAACCAGGGCATCTGGAGTTTTGAGACGAACACACAGGAAGTTGAACACACGTAAAGTACCACCTCCAATCCCAGCCATGTTCAGTAAACTATATTTTACAAGAAAACACATTTAAATGGTACAAATGAACTTATTTACAAAACAGAAATAGAGTCACAGATGTAGAAAACAAACTTATGGTTACCAGGGGGGAAAGAGGGGTGGGGGAGGGATAAATTGGGAGATTGGGATTGACACATACACACTACGATATATGAAATAGATAACTAATAAGGACCTACTGTACAGCACAGGGAACTCTAGTCAATACTCTGTAATGACCTATATGGGAAAAGACTCTAAAAAAGAGCGGATATATGTATGTGTAGAACTGATTCACTTCGCTGTACACCTGAAACTAACACAACATTGTACATCAACTAGACTCCAGTAAAATTAAAAAAGAAAATGCATTTACATCAAATGCTGAATGATTTTCTTTCTTTTATAAATCTGAAAAACTGAGAAAAATCCCATTTTGGGAAGTATTCTCCTGGCTTTGTGGTTGTTCTCCTGGGCGGGGAATCCCAGGGCCTTTGAGGAGGTGTCACCTGACCCTGCTGCCTGCCAGCTCTTCAGCGCACAGGGCCCCGTGACTGCAGTGGAGCGCACACAGTGACCCCTGAGCTGTATGTCTCGGGGTGGGGGGTGGGGTCTGGGGTCAGAACCACTCCCAGGAAAGCACCTGTCTGCTCGTCTCCCAGCCTCCGCCTGCCTTCCCTCTCGTTCCCGAGCTCCAACCCTTTTCAGAATGATGTCCCTGCCCCACTCACTTGCGCAAGTCCTACTCCTTTCGGGTGTCAGCTCAACTGTCCTCCCCTCAGAACAGCATGTCCTGCCTGTCCAGCCCTCCCCACTGTCAGACTCCCCGTTATTCCCGTCACGTTCTTACAGAACCATTCTCATGGTTTCCCCACCACGTGTGTGAGGTGCCCTGGTAACGTCTTTGTCCCCC